GGCGACCACGGATCTCCCTCCGTGAGGAATGCCACGCGCATTCCTGCCTTTATCAGATGGACCCGTTCAGCACGGAGGTCGCGTGTACACAGTGTGTGTGTGTACATGGTGTGTGTGTGTACACTGTGCGTGTGTGTGTGTACACCGTGTGTGTGTATGTACATGGTGTGTGTGTGTACACAGTGGGTGTGTACACGGTGTGTGTATGTGTACACAGTGCGTGTGTGTGTACACCGTGTGTGTGTGTATGTACATGGTATGTGTACACAGTGTGTGTGTGTGTACACAGTGTGTGTGTACACAGTGTGTGTGTGTGTGTACACCGTGTGTGTGTGTACATGGTATGTGTACACAGCGTGTGTGTGTACACAGTGTGTGTGTGTGTACACGGTGTGTGTGTACACCGTGTGTGTGTGTGTACATGGTGTGTGTGTATGTACATGGTGTGTGTACACAGTGTGTGTGTGTACACAGTGTGTGTGTGTACACGGTGTGTGTGTGTACACGGTGTGTGTGTGTACACCGTGTGCGTGTGTACACGGTGTGTGTGTGTACACCGTGTGTGTGTATGTACATGGTGTGTGTGTGTGTACACGGTGTGTGTGTGTGTTTCGCAGTATTCTTGTTATGTGTCTGGGATGTGTCCGTGCGTATATGGAGGTGCCAGCAGCTTCTGTTTGGCCGTATAGAATAGCGGGCTTAGCGGGCACGGCACGAGCTGGAGATGAGATGGAGCCGATGCAGTACGGGAGGACGTGGAGCTGAGTGGGACCTGCCGATGATCGGCACCAGCAGTGTCAGAATTGGCTGGAGTCATGTAGCCCGCATGCCCAAGCCACCGCGTGCCCAAAGAGCTTTTGGTTTGGCTGGTGAAGAGATAGAGCTGATGTCATACGGGGTGACGTGGATCTGAGTAGACTTGCTGATGACTGGTACCAGCGGTGTCAGGATCGACCACTTTGGAGGAGGCTCGTGAAGGACGCTGCTACTGGGCAGTTGGAGGCAGTCGCCCTCCAGCAACAGTGGATAGCAGAGGAGCGACGCTCACAACAACGAGCGAAGCGCCGGGTGGATAAAACGTAGCAGGTTGGCACAGCATGGGTTACAGCTGGTGTGCATCTACCGGTCATCTCAGCCGGTCAACCCATGGCACCTGCTGGGATCTCTCCCATGACCTCCTGCCAGCGATCCTTCGACACTTCACGTGGCAGCCTCAAAGTGCACCTGGCCTGGCACATGCGGATATTGGCATTGGTGTAGGTGCTTGCAAAACAGCACCTGCCCCTATAGTCTTGTAAAGGCTATACGGGGCATCTTTGTATTTGTGCGTACGCGTGGTATGTGGCTGTGTGTATATTTATGAACACAGAGAGAGTGTGTGTGTGTGGTATGTGCTTGTGCGTGTGTGTGCACATGGTGTATGTGTGGTATGTGTGTACGCGTGTGTGTGGGGAGCGGTAGTGTAGCGGCTAGCGCTACGCTGCGCTACGAACCCGGCGACCCGAGTTCGATTCCCGGTGACGATTATCTGAACCGGTCCTGGGCATCACCTAGGTCGACTCGGCCTCAACATGAGTACCCGGTGCGGTGTGTGGTAAACACATCGAGGTGTGTGTGTGGCGTGTGTGGCGTGTGTGGTGTGTGTGTGGTGTGTGTGTGTGGGGTGTGTGGTGTCTGTGGTGTGTGTGTGGGGTGTGTGCGTGGGGTGTGTGTGTAGGGTGTGTGGCGTGTGTTTGGGGTGTGTGTGGTGTGTGTGTGGTGTGTGGGGTGTGTGTGGTGTGTGTGTGCTGTATGTGTGGTTTGTGTGGTGTGTGTGTGGTGTGTGTGGTGTGTGTGTGTGGCGTGTGTGTGGTGAATGCTGTGCATTGAGATGATTCACGATCATGCGACTGCGTATACATTCCCACGGTGATGTTGATAAGTCACTTTGTTGAGTTATACATTTGTGATAGCCAAATCGCTTCTGAAAAATAAGTTGGTAAGATAAATAAAAGTTTCATTTGTATATTTGCAAGCGATTTGTTTACCTTCCCGATACGTTTCACTCCTATCGGATTCCTCCTGCAGTACAAGTTGCAATATTATGATTCTGAATATCTTTAATTTGGCAGTGGACAAATTCGGTGAAGTATGGTCAAACAACTCCCATGACCGACGCGGCCTTCATCCAGCAGTGGATCGATTAGAGTGGGGTATAATTACATAAACACTATAGTGACTCGTTGATTATAATAGAGCCTTAGTTTAAGCCGATGTTAAACAATTTAATTTCAGCAATGCAGTGCACATCCAGCGTTTAGCGTAATTTGGTTTAATTAGACCCCCAAGACAAACTGTGTCTAATGAATGGCACTCAGCTAATGTTTAGAACGTCCGATAATTTCTTTGAGGCATAAACATTGGTCGCGCGCACACACACGTGCGCACGCTGGAATGCACAGGCATGCACACATACAAAGATCCCCCGTATACCCTTAACAGACTGTTGGGGCAAGTGCTGTCAGCACGTGGCACACCTCTGAAGGACCGGTTCAGCTCCAATCGTCAATGGTGTTGACCGTGAGCGGGAATCGAACCCGGGTCGCTGGGTTCGTAGCGCAGCGCGCTAACCACTACGCTACCGCTTCTCACTCAGGCATGTACACACAGACACACACACACGCATACCTATGCACATACCGTTAAATACACTCACACACTGAGCCACTCTCAAATATATCCACATTCACTCTTACAAACAAAAGACAAAGATCCCCCGTGTAGCCTTAACAGACTGTAGGGGTAAGTGCTGTTAGCGAGCACCTATGAAGGCCGGCACGGCACACGAGGGGGTGGGTGGCCAGCACCACGCCCGGCCGTCTTTGTCTCACCAGTGGTGATGTTTACTACACTGCACCAGGTACTCATTTGAGGCTGAGTCGACCACTCACACAGGCACCATTATCACCCTATCACCAACTCATCCACACACACACACCTACCCACCACCTGCTCACACAAAAGCAAAGATCCCCCATGTACCCTTAACAGACTGTCGGGGCAAATGCTGTTAGCGAGCACCTATGAAGGCCGGCACGGCACACGAGGGGGTGGGTGGCCAGCACTACGCCCGGCCGCCTTTGTCTCCCCAGTGCTGACAGCTACACACCGCATCGCGAGCCGACCTCGGTTCGATGGTAAGGCTCAGAACCAGTCAAGGTTATATTCGCCACTGATGTTATCCGTGAGCGGGAATTGAACTCGGGGGTCTCCGGGTTTGTAACACAGCCTGTGACGATCCACCCCCGTACCCCCTCTCTCTGTGATTTGCTGGTCGATTGGATATTCACGCATCGATTATTTACGTATCGACTAATTACGGATCGATTATTCGCGATTTTGACCATTCACGTATTTTGACTATTCACGTTTGTGACTATTCACGCATCGATTATTTACGGATCGATTATTCCCGGATCGATTATTCACGGATCGATTATTCCCAGATCGATTTTTCACGGATCGATTATTCACGTTTTTGACTATTCACTGTATTGACTATTCACGGCACAGAGCCAGCAGGTGTGGGGTGACCGACGGTGCCAGGATAGGTGCAGAAGGTCACGCACAATATGTATGATAGTCTAAGTATTACGTGATAAGTACTATATAAGTATATGATAAGTACTATATAAGTATATGATAAGTACTATATAAGTATTATATGATAAGTACTATATAAGTATATGATAAGTACTATATAAGTATATGAGAAGTACTATATAAGTATATGATAAGTACTATATAAGTATTCTATGATAAGTACTATATAAAGTATATGATAAGTACTATATAAGTATATGAGAAGTACTATATAAGTATATGAGAAGTACTATAATTATGAAGTACTATAAGTATGATAAGTACTATATAGTATATGATAAGTACTATATAAGTATTATGTGATAAGTACTATATAAGTATATTGATAAGTACTATATAAGTATATGATAAGTACCTATATACGTGTATGCTAAGTACTATATAAGTATATGATAAGTACTATATAAGTATTATATGATAAGTACTATATAAATATGTACGATTCGCTCCGCCCGAATGTGTTCTCACTTTGTGACGTTCGTGGAGCGATCGAGACGACGCGGAGCTCCGAGCCGGGGGGGGGCTGAGCAGTGAGTGGCAGCAGCGATGGGGGGGGGGTATTTGGGGGGCTGCAGGGGGGGGGGGCTAGCGGCGGGGGGGGGCTGCAGGGGGGGGGGGGCTGCAGGGGGGGGGGCTGCAGGGGGGGAGGGGGGCGAGGGCGGTGGAGGAGGCAGCGAGGATTTAAGAGAGGGACGGGAGGAGGTTGAGGAGGGGACTGCCCAGCGTGCAGGGGAAGTTGATGCCACTAGAACACTCCCTCCTGCTGCCTCCCTCCCTCCACCTCCTCCCTCTCCTCCACCCCCTCCTCCTCCACCACCCTCCTCCCTCTCTACCACCCCCCACCACCCACCCCCACCACCTCCTCCACCACCTCCTCCACCACCACCTCCTTATCCCTCTCCACCACCACCTCTACCTCCACAAGTCCATCACCTCCACCACCTCCCCTTACCTGCCCCTCCCTCCCTCCCCTGCATCTCCCTCCCCCACCCCCACAAGTCCACCACCTCCACTGTAAACTCCCTCACCACCGCCACCACCTCCCCGTCCTCCCCCACCACCTCCACCACCCCCACCACCCCCACCACCCCAACCTCCCCCACCACCCCCACCACCTCCCCCACCACCCCCACCACCTCCCCCACCACCCCCACCACCTCCACCATCCCCACCACCTCCCCCACTACCACCACCTCCACACCTTCACCACCACCTCCCCCACCACCCCCACCACCTCCACCATCCCCACCACCTCCCCCACCACCACCCCCACCACCCCCACCACCACCCCCACCACCCCCACCACCACCCCCACCACCACCCCCACCACCACCTCCTCCACCACCTCCAGCACGCACCTTGAGTGAGCCGCGTTGGCTCCCGCACGGCGGTGCCGTCGATGGTGCAGGGGTGTCCGCAGGGCACGAGGGTGATGGCGCCTCCCCGCGCCTCGATGACGCAATGGTCGCGCTGCGCTCCGGGACCGCGGATCTCGATGTCGGGAGGAGGAATCGAATCCGCCGTGCCCAGTCTGGTTTGGCCTGCGGGTGTTGGTGGGTGGGGAGGGTGGGGAGGGTGGGGAGAGTGGGGAGGGAGGGGAGGGAGGATGGAGAGGTGGGATGGGAGGGAGGGTGGAGGAGAGGAGGGTGGGGAGGGTGGGGAGGGTTGGGAGGGAGGGGGGAGGGTTGGGAGGGTGGGGGGAGGGTGGGGAGGGTGGGGAGGGTTGGGAGAGAGGGGGGAGGGGGGGGAGGGAGGGGGGAGGGTGGGGAGGGTGGGATGAGAGGGAGGGTGGAAGAGAGGAGGGGAGGGTTGGGAGGGAGGGGAGGAAGGGGAGGGGGGAGGGAGAGAGGGTTGGGAGGGTTGGGAGGGAGGGGGGAGGGAGGTGGGAAGGGAGAGAGGGTGGAACAGAGGGGAGGGAGGGGAGGGAGGGGAGGGAGAGGGGAGAATAAATCTAGGAATAACAACCAGGCACACGCATGGACTCTGTGGCGAATGCTTCCCAAACAAACACGACGCGATTTGTGGTGGCGGTTATTGTTGTGGTTGTTGTTGTAGTGGTCGTGGTGGTTGTTGTGATAGTGGTTGTTGTGGTGGTTGTTGTTATGGTGGTTGTTGTAGTGGTTGTTGTTGTGGTGGTTGTTGTGATAGTGGTTGTTGTGGTTGTGGTGGTTGTTGTTGTTGTGGTAGTTGTTTTTGTGGTTGTTGTGGTAGTTGTTGTGGTGGTTGTTGTAGTTGTTGTTGTGGTAGTTGTTTTTGTGGTTGTTGTTGTGGTTGTTGTGGTGGTTGTTGTTGTGGTTGTTGTGGTGGTTGTTGTTGTGGTTGTTGTTGTGGTAGTTGTTGTGGTGGTTGTTGTTGTTGTGATAGTTGTTGTGATAGTGGATGTTGTTGTGGTGGTTGTTATTGTTGTTGTGTGGTTGTTGTTGTGGTGGTTGTTGTTGTTGTGGTGGTTGTTGTGTGGTGGTTGCTGTTATGGTGGTTGTTGTTGTGGTGGTGGTAGTGGTTGTTGTTGTGGTGGTTGTTGTTGTTGTGGTAGTTGTTGTTGTGGTGGTTGTGGTGGTTGTTGTGGTTGTTGTTGTGGTTGTTGTTGTAGTGGTTGTTGTTGTGGTGGTTGTTGTTGTGGTGGTTGTTTTTGTGGTGGTCGTGGTGGTAGTGGTTGTTGTTGTTGTGGTTGTTGTGGTAGTTGTTGTGGTGGTTGTTGTTGTGGTTGTTGTGCTCCTCACCCTCGTGCAGGGGCAGCAGCGTCACGGCCGTGGAGAGTCGCCCCCCGCCCACACTCACCAGGTGTGGCGTGGCCGCCTCCACCCGCAGGCCCCGTCCACTCTCAGTGAAGTCCAGAGCCGTGTTCTGACACCAAAACACACCAACATCATCATCACCATCATCATCACCAACATCATCATCATCACCAACATCATCATCATCATCATCACCAACATCATCATCATCACCAACATCACCCACTCTCAGTGAAGTCCAGAGCCGTGTTCTGACACCAAAGCACACCAACATCATCATCACCATCATCATCATCACCAACATCATCATCATCACCAACATCATCATCATCACCAACATCACCCACTCTCAGTGAAGTCCAGAGCCGTGTTCTGACACCAAAACACACCAACATCATCATCACCATCATCATCATCACCAACATCATCAACATCACCAACATCATCATCATCATCACCAACATCACCCACTCTCAGTGAAGTCCAGAGCCGTGTTTTGACACCAAAACACACCACCATCATCATCACCATCATCACCATCATCACCATCATTACCACCATCATCCTTACAATCACCACCATCATCATCATCTCCATCATCATCACCATCATCACTATCACCACCATCATCATCATCACCATCATCACCATCATCATCGCCATGATCACCACCACCACCAGCACCAACATCACCACCAACACCACTTCCACAACCATCACCGGCACCACCAGCACCAGACTCACGTGGAAAATCCTCTGAGACTTTTTGAGAGGCTCGCAAATCCCTCGCGTGGCCATGGAGACCTGGCTCACGACCACCGTCTCACGATCTCGCAGCTCCTGTGAGGGCGACAGAGCGAGAGCGTGCCGGCCTTCAAGGAGCAGTGGGCGATGGAGGAGGCCGTGTGCTCGGTGGCAGATGACGGGGAGCTCTGCATGCAGTTATGAGCTACCCGTCGGAGGCCGTCGGACTGCGAGAAGGGCTGCGTGCAGAACGAGAGTGAGCAAGAGAGTGAGCGAGAGAGTGAGCGAGAGAGTGACCGAGAGAGTGAGCGAGAGAGTGAGCGAGAGAGTGAGCGAGAGAGTGACCGAGAGAGTGAGCGAGAGGTGGGGGTTTACATAAAGCAAAGTTATTATAAAAAAAATATACGAAATGATGAACGAAGTAAAGTGCCGACTACACCGAGCATCTTCTTGTTTCCACTGATCGTAAAAAAAAGAGAGAGATCAATACAGAGAGCGAGATCGAGAGAGATCGAGAGGGAGCGATAGAGCGAGACAGAGAGAGATCAATACTGAGGACGAGATCGAGAGGGAGCGAGAGACCGATACAGAGAGCGAGATCGAGAGAGAGAGTTTGCGAGAAAGACAGAGATTGAGAGAACACTTCACGAATTTGCGTGTCATCCTTTCGCAGGGACCATGCTCATCTTATCTGTGTCGTTCCAATTTTAGTATTCGTACTGCCAGAGCAAGAGAGAGAGAGATATCGAGAGATAGATCGAGAAAGTTGTAAATCAACTTAATTTCTACCAGCAGCAAACAGCACTGCAGCCCATTTCGATACACGTCACGTCGAGTACAGCGTCACGTGCGCACGTCACAAAGACGGCCCGCGGTCACGTGGCGCTGCACGTGCCACGCGCGACCAATAAGCTCGTTCGGAAGTCCAATTCAGAGTGCCGTTGGTGCTGGTGCAGAGGGCTTGACCGCCCCTAACACAGAGGTCGCAAACGGGTTTTGATTCCTTACCCATACCCGGCCGCACCAGGGTCGCAAATGGGTACCCGTTCCCTACCCGTACCCGTACCCTACCCGAAATGAGTGACAAACGGTTACTCACCAGTGACTCACGGCTTACCCGTACCCGTACCCGGCCGCACCAGGGTCGCAAACGGGCACCCGTACCCGGCCGGGTACGGGTAGCCGGGTATCGGGTAGGGTACGGGTATTGGGTACCCGGTTGCGACTTCTGCCCTAACACCGTTCAAAAAATACGCGCGTCACGTCACCGGCATTGGAGTGGTTCGCGTGCTCCAGCTGGAGCCGTGCCTTGGAACAGGCCCCTTCAACATCAGCAGCGCAAGAGCAGCCGTCAGTGTCGCCTTGCGGCATCCTTTTTTTTCCCGGTCTTGTAAACGGTGCCGTCTTTGCTTTAGGCACAGACGAAGGTTTCGAGATCTTTGGCGCTTATTTGCCAGGCAAGACACCCCCCCCCCCCCCATAAAAGAAGAAACGGAGCATTTGCGTAAAAAAATTATTAAACCGGCATTTTCAAGAAGTGTTGTTATTTTTATTTAAATAACTGTTGTTGAAAACAAATCTCACGGTGGATGTGAAGGAGACACCCACCAACTCGTAGCTTTGGCCACCACTAAAAAACTAAAGACTATATATTTAAAAAAATATATATATTTTTCCTAGGTAAGGCTATGTAGCTATTTTTTAGAAAGCTATATTAACGACTATTAAACAATATTCTTGGTTATTTCGGTAAAGTCACGTAGAAGGGAAATAATAAAAATAAAACGATACCATTAAATCATGACGTTTCGATTGCAACACAAGCAATCGTCATCAGGTGTGAAAACCACGGAAAAATTTTTTTAAAAAAAGTGTCGGTTAAGAAAAAAATATGGAAACGTCGTGATAATTTTATTGTTTAAATTTTATTATTTTATTATTTCCCTTCTACGTGACTTTACCGAAAGAACAAAGAATATGAATCCCTGCAGTCACGAAAGCTTTAAATAGAGACTGTTAAATTAATTTATTTCACCAGGTAAGGCCCCACTGCGCTATGTAAATATTTTTAAGAAAGCTAAATTAACGACTATTACACATTTTTTATTCCACCAGGTAAGGCCCAAATTAGCTGCGATGTCGCTCTTTTTTCAGAAGCGACCTGATCATCACAAATGATCGCAGCTGAACGAAGTGGTGGCTTCTCATCATCATCATTACGTGGATATTTATAGCAGCACAAACACTCTAAACGCGTGTTTGTTGATTCTAAATGTGGAGGGGAAAAAGTGGAGGACCCGGAGAAAAATCCACGCGACCACGGGGAGAGAGAGAGACACAGAAACTAAAAATATACAGCAGCAGCAGGCGTCAAGGTCGGGATCGAACCCACGACCTCCTGTATACCAGGCGATGTAGTTAACATCTCATAGCCACCGTGATGATGAGAGAGAGACACAAACTCCAAATATACAGCAGCAGGCGTCAGGAGTCGGGATGGAACCCACGACCTCCTGTAGACCAGGCGAGGTAGTTAACATCTCCTAGCCACCGTGATGATGAGAGAGAGAGACACGCAAACTCCAAATATACAGCAGCAGGCGTCAGGGTCGGGATCGAACCCACGACCTCCTGTAGGCCAGGCGAGGTAGTTAACATCTCCTAGCCACCGTGATGATGATGAGAGAGAGACACGCAAACTCCAAATATACAACAGCAGGCGTCAGGGTCGGGATCGAACCCACGACCTCCTGTAGGCCAGGCGAGGTAGTTAACATCTCCTAGCCACCGTGATGATGATGAGAGAAAGACACGCAAACTCCAAATATACAGCAGCAGGCGTCAAGGTCGGGATCGAACCCACGACCTCCTGTATACCAGGCGAGGTAGTTAACATCTCCTAGCCACCGTGATGATGATGAGAGAGAGAGACACGCAAAGTCCAAAGATACAGCAGCAGGCGTCAGGGGTCGGGATGGAACCCACGACCTCCTGTATACCAGACGAGGTAGTTAACATCTCGCCAACATAACAGGGTCTCCAACCTCGCCTTCTGGCCCTCGGAACGATTCCATCGTGAGCGGGAACGGAAGATGATGATGATGGCGGTGGGGAGGACCTGTGAGAGAGAGACGAATCTACGGGAGCCTCGGTTGTCAGACGTGTTCGTGTTGGTTTCAGTGGAGATGATACAAATGAATAAAAGCGATGTTTACACACCGCACCAGGTACTAATTTGAGGCTGAGTCGACCTAGGGGGGAGGCCCATGACCGGTTCATGATAATCGTCACCGGTGTTGGCCGTGAGCGGGAATCGAACTCGGGTCGCCGGGTTCATTGCGCAGCGTAGCACTAACCACTACACCCACCGCTTCCCAGCCACACACACGCACACACCACACGCACACGTGATATCTTCACTCTTAACGCTATAATTCCACGGTGAAACACAAACATTTACGTTTGACTGGGGATAATTTCCGCTTAATGGGGCTAATTTGAGAGGGGGCCCCCTATCTCACGCATCGGCCCTCAATTAAACCCCAATTACATCAACGGCTCCGAGACATCTTTTAAACATCTCCCTTCAAGCTGACGCCACCAGTTCGCTCATCATCGTCGTCAACTGCAGCAGCATCACCAGCAACAGCTGCACCATCAGCAGAATCAGCTGCAGATGCATCATCAGCAGCTGCAGCAGCTGCAGCAGTTGCAACATCAGCAGTATCAGCTGCAGAAGCATCAGCAGCAGCATCAGCTGCAGCAGCATCAGCAGCAGTAGCATCAGCAGCAGTATCAGCTGCAGAAGCAACATCAGCAGCTGCTGCAGTATCAGGAGCAGCAGCAGCATCATCAGCATCATCAGCAGCAGCTGCAGTAGCATCATCAGCAGCAGCTGCAGTAGCAGCATCATCATCAGTATCATCAGCAGCAGCTGTAGTAGCATCAGCATCAGCAGCTGCATCATCGATTCTATCTCCCGGCGCGGCACCAGAAACAACAGCGGGGGGCTACACCCCCCCCCCCCCCACCGCCTCTATTCACGCAGCAGCAGCGGCGGAGATGATGATGATGATGGTGGTGGTGGGGTAAAGCGTGGGGCTGTGAACATCTCCCGTGTCTACTTCCAAGACGTTCTAGCTCAGCACGGAGGAGGAGGTCTTGCCTATCACTCACTGGCGCGCGCGCGTCTTCAAGACGATCTCACTCGCGCCCACCCCCCTCACCCCCCTGTCCTCGTCGTCTGTGCCTCGAAATCTCTTCAACGCTTCATCCATCTTGGCGATGTCTCTCTCTCTCTTGTTTTTTTTACGATCAGAGGAAACAAGAAGATGCTCGGTGTAGTCGGCACTTTGCTTCGTTCATCATTTCGATTTTTTTTTGTTCAATGCTTTGCTTTATGTAACCCCCCCCCCCTCCCCCCTGATTTTAAATGAAAAATTTCACGAAATATTTCTCGCTTTGCTCTCCTTACCCCTACCCCCTCTCTCTCCCCCCCCTCTCTTTACCCCCCCCCCCCCTCTTTTTACCCCCCCTCTCTTTATCCCCCTCTCTCTCTACCCCCCTCTCTCTTTACCCCCCCTCTCTTTATCCCCCTCTCTCTCTACCCCCCTCTCTCTACCCCCCCTCTCTCTCTCTACCCCCTCTCTCTACCCCATGTCTATGTCCCCCCTATGTTTTCTATGTAATTTTATGTAATATTATTATAATTATTATTTTGTTTACGACAAGTGCTGCATCTGCACGCAGCCCTTCTCGCAGTCCTACGGCCTCCGACGGGTAGCTCAGATCTGCATGCCGAGCTCCCCATCTTCTGCCACCGAGTATCTCTCTCTGTCTGAGTGTTTCTCTGTGTTTCTCTGTGTCTCTCTGTGTCTCTCTGTGTCTCTCTCGCCCTGGTGGGGATACCAACGGAGATGATGTCGATGCTACTGTTGCCGCTGACCATCGGGCGAGCAAAAGGCGGCGGTCACCGCTTTCAGACATCATCCAGGTTGACGAATTCAATTCTGTAGAGCCGCGTGTGGTGCATTAAGTTTGTTCACCTTCCCCGCCCAACCCGCCGCACTTCCGATTAGCACGGTTCGCTACGTACGGTGCGAAAGAAGTTCAATGTACACGCACACACAAACAAACAACACTGACTCCCCGTGTAGCCTTAACAGGCTGTAGGGGCAAGTGCTGTTAGCGAGCAGCACCTATGAAGGCCGGCACGGCACACGAGGGGGTGGTTGGCCAGCACCACGCCCGACCGCCTTTGTCTCCCCAGTGGCGAGGTTTACACACCGAACCAGGTACTCATTTGAGGCTGAGTCGACCTAGGGGAGCCCCAGGATCGGTTCAGATAATCGTCACCGGTGTTGGCCTTGAGCGGGAATCGAACCCGGGTCGCCAGGTTCGTAGCGCAGCGTGCTACCTGCTACACTACCGCTCCCCACGTATACACACGGACAGACACACACACACACGGACAGACACACACACATGGACAGACACACACACACACGGACAGACACACACACATGGACAGACACACACACACACACACTGACGGACGTACAAGGCAAAAATCTCCGCGACTCACGATCTCACCTGGATCGCTCGCTCCGCATCCAACACCGTAGCGAGCCGAAGAGACGTGAGTGTGCTGAGTGAGTGTGCTGTGTGTGCTGTGTGTGCGTGTCTCCGCGACTCGAGAAATGCCCACACACATTCCAAGACTCTGCCAGTC